AGCCGTTGTAATTACAATTACCTGTATTGATTCCCGTTATATTTTCTCTACCGTTAGGATGGTTCCTATTGTATCCTGGACCGTTCGAATACAGTAATGTTGTGTATGGCATACCATCGATATCGGATATTTTATCATCTGTATATTTTATTAAATTAAATTTTTAACAATTTTTGTTTATTTTATGTTCTAGGTCACTCTCATGTGAAGCATAAGGAGCAATCTGAACTTAATTTACATAGAAGTAAGACTAAAAAGCATCACCATCACCATGGAAAGAAAAAGAAAAAACACAAAGAGAAAGATGATTATAATTTATTATCAGGTACCACTAAAAATGATCATTGTATTAAATCAAAGAAACATAAACATAAATGTGAAAAGAAAACAATAATGCATAAAACTTTTAGTGAAAAATCTCATGTTTCAGACTGTAGTTATTTAATAAAAGAGAAGAGCCACATTACTGTTTCCAGTTCTAATTTACACAGCTGTGATAATAATCATTCCATCCATGCAAATGATTCAGTTTATCTTAAAGAACAAAAAGAAGATACTCTGCTTGAAAATGATCTTATAGCACCAATAGTTGCCAGCATTTCTGAGAACAAAGAACAGTGCTTTCTTAAATATGATACTGAAAATAGAAATTTGCCTTGTAAGTTAGGAAAAAGAACTTTTAGTGATTTTCAAAATAACAACAATAATGATTTATTAAAAGACAATTGCACAAATAAATTTCACATTTCAAGTACTTTTCAAACTACAGATATAACAGATGAAAATATTAGCAAAAGGATAAAATTAGAATCTGTAAATAATGTAAAATCACTTAACTTAGAAGATAGGAGTATTGATGAGAGATCTAAAGTTAAAACTGATATAGAATGGCAAAATACACAATTTCAAAGAAATTTACAATTATCTGAAAAACAAAGCAAGTTATTAAATGTTGCAAAAGTAGATATAGTTTCAGAATTAGATAGTTCCTTAATTGAAAAAGGAAATCTTAAAAGCCAAAGTATTCTTCAGACTATTCCATTCAGTGAAGATTTAGGTGAAGGAAAAAGATTTAATAAATCTGAAGTAAATAACAATAATGTGGAGATGCAAGTGAAACAGAAGCTTTTATGTCATCCTTCTAATAATAGCACAATTTCCAATGTAGATATAACGTTGCATTCAAAAGAAAGAACATTACAAGAATCTTTAAGTTTTAACAACAGTGCTTCAGAAGAATATATGAAAGAATTATCATCAGATAATTTACTTGACAATGAAAATAAAAATTCAAATCAGCATGCAGATGAATTACTAGTAAATAACAAATTGCTTGGAAATTTCAATCATGAATTTTCTGTTTATAAAACTGAAAATTTACCCTCTTCTGGTAGGTTAATTGAAAGTTTTCATTCTAATGTGTCTTCAGATCAGATTTTAAGTGATTCATTAACAAATGATAAGTTAGAAAATATTAAAAATGATGATAAATTTTCAAATGTCAGTAGTGATGATTTACATCTAAAAGATAGATTATCTAAAGATAATAGCAGTGAAGAAACTAAAACTTTTTCAAATACAAATAGTCCAAATTATAAATCCAATAATGAAAGTCCAATGTTTTCAGATGAAAATAAAAGTGAAATCACAGACAAAATTAATGAAGAAAATAAAAATGATAATGTAAGTTATTTTGAAAATGAATTGCAGCAATCAGTTAAATTTGAAGATGTGAAACAAGAATTAATAACTTTGAATGATTTTATAGTTGAAGTACAATCAAATGAAAAACATGCAGAAAATATTAATGAAAATATCAGTTCTGTTGCTAAATATCATTTACAATTAGAAAATAGAAATGATGCAATTTTCATTAATAATGAGAATAATGTAATTTTCAATGAAACTGAAATATTGTCTAAAGATAATAAATTTGAAATCAATCAAAGTCTTACAGAAAATATATCTTTAATACAGAACAAAAATGAATCAGTTTCAGCAATTAAATTAGAAAATGTAAAACAGGAAAATTTCTTTAAAAATGACCAACATGAAAACAAAGTAGATACTTTATTATCTGACATACTAAATAAAGATAATGGTGATAGTAAGACTGATATTTCATTACAATATTCAAGTGAAGTAGAATTAAGGAATAAGTTATTTAATGATTTCAAGGAAAAAAATACAATTTCTCATAATAATCAAACAAATGCATCAGATTTATTTGAGTATTCAAATCAGTGTGATTTATTACTTAAAACAAATAATAGTGATATAAATACAACTCATGATTTGGTAATTTCAATGAAAAATATTTGCAATGAGAAAAAAACAATAAATCAAATAAAAATGGATATTACAGATTTAAAACCTAAAGAATTACAGGTTGTTTCAGAAAAGAATTTGCAAAATCAAGAAAATATATATTTTAAATCTGATCAAGATATAAATTTTTCTTCACAAAACACAAAATTAATAGATGATATAAAAACTGTTTTATCACAGGAAACAAATGCAATTAAAACAGAAATTAATACTGACCAAATTCAAAATATGCAAGGAAGTAAGAAAAATGATGTGAAATTATCAAAAAGTAGTTACTCTGAAGATACACAAAATTTAAAATCAATAAAGAAATTAATAAAAGAAAAGGAAAGGCATAATGAAGTTAATAATAAACAAGTTAGTCAGATTAATAAAGCAGATGCAGTTTCCTTGTCAAAAGATAATTTATTAAAAGCATCTCCAAAAAAATCTTACAAAACAGATAAAGTTTGCTCAGTTGCATTGAATAATGAAAATAAATGGAATGTTCTAGACAACAAAAATAAATCTCCAATGAATGTGAGAGATTTTTCATCAAAACAGATGATAGAGAAAGTTGTACAAGATATTTCTCTGAATTCTACAAAAGTTCTAAATGAGAAAAAGAGAACTGATAAAAATAAAATTGATGCAGAAAGTAAAAATTCTGGAAAAGATAAACCTGTTAAAAAACTTTTATGTTCTCGTTGTCATCAAAAAATAGTTCCTTTAAGGAATGTGAGAATTCAGTGCAAGAAAGATCAAAAACAGAAACTAACTTCACACATTATTACAGGTCAGGGTATAGCTTTATCATTAAAAATACCGAGATTGCCCATTTCTTCAGACTTCAAGCATCTCAAATATGGAAAATATATGAGACTTGAAGTTTATCCAAATGGAGGTGCTTCTTCACTTCACCTTTATTGGGATGAGATTGCTCATTTAAAAGAGAGAGAAATGGAAGAGTTGGCAAAAGAATTTCTAAAAGTGAGCATGTCTATATTATTTAGATATTAAATCTTATTTTTTTATATAAAATTATATTTAATTATAAGTTTACAAAATATCTAGATCAAATGAAATTTTTTAAAATAAGATAATTTTAAGAACTTTAATATTTTTTCACAAATAAAAATAAGACACTTAATAATATGAGAAACAAGAATGAAATAATTTAAAAATTATCTAAATAATTACTTTAAATCTTTGTTTATTGTATTTGCATATTTTAACAGATACATATGTTTGTATACTACATTTACTGGGGATTGCCAGATGTTCAATATAGGGAGAAATTTGTTATAGGAAGAATTCATAATTAGAGAATTTCCTGTATATTATAAATTTCAGCTTTTCATATTAAAGAATATGAAGACCGAATAGAAATGCATAAAATTAATAAAGTGATAAACGTACTCTTTCAATTCTTGAAAAACAAATTCAAGAATTGAAAGACTATGTTTTAATAGTAATAATGTTTTAATAGCAATTCAGAAGAAAAAATTAAATGAAACTATTACAATTTGTTTGGCAGACAACATCTTCATTTGTACACATAACTGGTGCAAAATTAAAATATCTTTGAATCTCTCTCTCTAGAATTATAGTAATTTCAATTATGTATACTGTGAATAAATAATGATTAAAATTATTAACATTTAATTTTTAAAGCACTAGTTAAGAGTGGTAATGATTGAACTTGATCATATGTTGAGGCAAATAACATAAAAATATAACTATTTGCCTCTTTACCTGAAGAAGATAATTACAACTGAACTCTAATTACAATAAGCAAAGTTTTATAAGTTAACTTACAGTAAGAATTAGCAAGTTCTAAAACACAATATTAAATGATGGGTAACAATATCCATGATTATACTAAGCAGATTTTACTATACAAAAATCATTATCATCATTTCTGTATATCATTTTCTATATAAATTCCAAATTAAAAAAAAAAAATTTGCTATTAATTTTTTTTATTTACAATAGATTTTCATTGCCTAAGTATAAAAATTATAAAATCTATTAATATAATAAAAATGATTTATTTTTTTCTCTGTTTAATTTCTATTTACTTTTTCACTTTTTATTAGCTAATTAGCTATTTTTTCTTTTTTACATGAAACTGTTCCAAATATGATTTTTCATAAGAAGTAATATTTATTTTGTTTCAATATTTATGTGAAAACTAATCAAAATTAATTTTCTATCTGGTGGCAAATTATTTTTATTTTTTTAGTTTTTAGTTTAAAACACAAACAATAGATTTAAAAAGTATAGATCTGCTCAAAGCTTTTTCTTCCTAACAATGATGCCAAAATGCATGAAAGTCAAATCCAAAAAAGTATATCTAAAAGTCTAAAACCATATTTCCATTGATATGTGCATAAAATAAAATAATAATTAATACAATGTTATAATATTGATTAGTTTTATTTTATGCATATATCAATACAGAAGTTAGAGTTGATTTTTTTTTATTTTTATATTAAGTAACACAAATATAATGATGATGAAGTCAATTGGCTTATGGAATATAAGTTACCTTAGAACTAAAATGGACAATGATATATTTTTTGTAAATAAATCAAAAGCATAATCATATTTTAGCCATAAGAAAATCATCCATTTAACTTTCTTCTGTTCTTCACATACGTCCATTAGATAAAGTCACACATTAGAGGAATTCAGGAATTACACTATACCAGGGATGACGAATCTATGGCATGTAACGTATCATACAATTTCTATTTATCATCTGTCTTTTTCAATCATCTATTTGGTTTATCACCTGATCATCCTATTTTTTCAGCCAGCTTTTTTACATTTAGTCTAATTAAACAGATTCGTTTAATTTCTTTAAATATCATTATTTGAAGTCTAAAAGTTTAGCATGCATAAATATCTTTAAAGCTAAGTATGTTTATTATATGGCATGCAAACTCAAAAAGGATCACCATCCTGTTAGACAACCATAAACTTTAAAAGCATTAATTCTCAATTTACATTAGTTTTGAATAAAATGAAACAAATACCATATACTAGTTATCAGCAAATATCAGTTACAATAAGGTATGTAAGTTTGTTCAAAAATTCAAGTGTTGTAACTTTGTAATTATTCCTGATGATCAACCTAATAATTAGATTTATTAATCTGTTAATGCCTAGATTTTATCACCAAAGATGTGTGTCATCTCACTCTATAATTTTAATTTTAAATTTGGTTTGTTTATTGGTAAAAGTTTTAGATCTTTTAATTTCTCAGAGTTTCTACAAGAACTATATTTATTACTCTGCAGTAATTTAACAGTGAAAAGAATAATAAGGTGAAATAAAATTCTGGACAAGTAATTGTAAGTAGAAATAAAACAGAATATAAATATAAACTTCACATTATCACTAACAGAAGTGAAATTAATTTATTAATCAAAAAATCTTATGTTCATTTATTGAAAACAGTAATAAAAAATTCAAGTGGTGATGATAAACTATCAAAATTATAATATTAATTGAAACTGTGTAATATATATAATAAATATTGAAGAAACTTATATTAACCAAAAAAAAAAATGATATAGTGTATTTAAACTAGAATAATTTTTATTGATGTTACTCATTGTTTGTGATATACATGATTTTTAATTTAAGAATTTAATATTTTAAAAATGTTGTTTTTATTTAGAAACAACAAAAAATATTAAATTATCAATAATTTTTTATATGAAATTAACAGTTTTCATGTTTTATTATAATATTTAATAATTAACTGTTGCTAATTGATGTTTTCATTGATTATTGCTTATCTCTAATACACTCTCTTGTGTATATTTCTGTACAATCAGTAGTAGTGTTAACAGTTAATTAAGATTTTGCTTTTCTGGTTTGGCTGCTTAAAAGCCCAAATAATATTTTTTGATTGAAAGTGACGATGTTTTATGAAGCAGTCAAGCAACGAATGATATATTAAGCATTACAGTAGAGCGTTGTTTATCCGAATCAGTTAAGGACTGGGGTGGTTTGGATAACTTATTTTTCGAATAACGAATCATGTACGAAAAAATATATTAATTTATCCCATGTTGAAATTTCTTTCCGTTGCGTGTCGCTTCGTGTTGAATTTTCGTCGATGTTAAGCCTAACAAAGACTATTGTATCGTTAAAAATTATTTTTTTATTTTGTACAAACAAAATAAATTCATTGAAAAATATAAAAACAATAAAAAATTATACTTCAGATGTTAATCTAGTATCAAAAACGTAAAATATTTGAGTAGCCCAAGACATAGCCAAAGATTGAAGCGCCACAGCACTGACGAAAATTTAAATTTGCCGACTGGAATTCTTTCGGATGATTGACTTTCGGAAAATCGACACTCCACTGTAATTTATCTTAGGAATACATTTTCTGAAACAACTGTATTACTTGAACCAAAGTTATTTTTTAGAAATAATCTATGCTGTTTTAATATAAGGATTTTTTTACTTAACGTATAATCTAATTAAGATATTTATTTAGGTAAATTTATAGTATGACATGTATATATCATGGTAAATACATTTTTGTCATAGTGGAGTACATTTAAACAAATTAAGAATTTATTTTGAAAACAATGTAACAATTTATTTTTAATATTTAGGAAACATTTTATGAAGAGCCTACTGGTGTTGCTAGATATGTGATGGGCATTGTACATAATGCAGCTCATTATCTTCCTGATTTATTGGAATATTTTTCATCAAATTATCCTGGACTTGTTGTGAAAACTGGTGTGTTAGGAAGACAGTCTGATATTGAAACGACTACGATGGCTAAGTTTTATGAACTAGTAAGTATTTTTAAATTTTATATCAAAACATTTATTATATAAAATAATTAAAATTTTCACATTACACTAAACTAAATCATTAATTTGTGGCAAACTTTATGTCAATGTAATTCTGTAAATCTAAGAGTGATTGATTTATTACAAAAATTGTTATGGGTGCAATAGAAAATAAAATTTTTATGGGGAGTTCTGGAAGAACCAATTAGACAATAATTATTAAAATATAATTAATTATTTTAAATGTAATTAATTATTTAATTATAATATAATTAAAAACATTTTATTGGAAAGAAAGATTTAATAAACTTGAAGTAAATATGAAAATATGTTTTATGGTCATTTCTTGAAGATAATGTTGCTCAAGAAATTTTTGTATTTTTCAGTCATCATAATTACATTGTCTGATGCTGCCCTATATGCTATACAGTACATAGCATATTTTTCATTATTCCATCAATCTCAATTCAAATAATAATTTTCCATTTTTGGATAAAATAAAAATTCTTTATACCCTCTGCTCTTCAATTATAAATTTAATGTAATATTTAATCAAAGATATATTTTATATAAATCAAAAGCATAATCATTTCTTAGCCATAAGCATAATCATCTAACTTCCTTCATTTAACATCATGTAACTTCTTTTTGTTCTTCATATGTATCCATTAGATAAAGTCACACATTAGAGGAATTCAGGCATTACACTATATTGCTAGAATATGAAATAATTCTCATAAAACTTGCATTAATGGTTTTCAAGTGAATAGTACTGTTGAAAGTAAACTAGATATGTATTAATATACTATCAATGCAATTCTTTATTAGTTCCTTATTATTATTCTTGTACAATCAACATATATTAATATGATATAATTAGTATTTTCAAAGAATATAACCTGATAACACCAAATAAACTCATACATTGCTACACACTACTACTATGTTAAGTAATGCTGTTGTTTGTTATGTATTTTGTTTTTTCTTGCAACTTGTGTAAATTTTCTCTACCTAATAAATGAAGTTTTATTTATTGGCATATTGATATGAATGGATCTCACTTGTTATGATTAAATGAATCATGACATTGTTTTGTTAGACTTTTTACTATACTGTTATAAGCTCTGACAAAATTTTGAACTGTATTTACTATCATATAATAATCATATATGATACAATAAATTTACATAATTAAAATTTAAAATTTGAAGGGATAAATCAGTCTTTTAATTATAAAATACAGTTAATCTTTGACTTATGATGTAGTTTTGTTTCAGGATTCCCATCATATGGTGAATTGGTCACAAATTGAGCATAAAAAATAATGGCGATAATAGGGTGCAGTTCCTAAGATTATGTATCATATATAATATGTTGTTATTATGTTAATATGTATTGTATATTATCAATATAATCAGATGATGACTCATTTATATTCTTACTAGCCTACTAATCAATTTATTTATACAAATTGATATTTTAATTAATTAATTATAGTATTTTATCAACAAACAAACACATAAGATAAACATGTTTAAAGACACTAAAAATTATACTGAGGAACTATACAAATCTTTATATGAAATTTTTATTGTTAATTTTTATTTAATTATTTTGTTTTTAATACACTTTATTATAAAAAATCAAAATTAAAATGATAATTTTTTTTATTAAGTAGCTCATCTTTCTAGCTTCATTTTAGGTTTTAGGCACTAATGACACTAATCTGAGTTTAGTTAATGATGAATAAATTCATTATTTAGTTATAGTTATTATTTTGTAGAACATGTTTACCGCCCATTTAGTATTATGTTTAACATTTAATAGTCACACTTTGCTATTAGCAAGTGTGACTAATTATTTTGATTCAAAAATAATTTTTTAATACACTAGTTTTACCTGTCTTAAGTATGGTTTGTCATAAGTCAGGGACTGATTGTATTAAAAAAAAATTTAGAATAGGATGATTATGATCTTTACAATAAAAATTGTGTCAAAAAAGCAGTTCAATGAAGTTTGACATTGATTATATTATTCTGAGACTAAATATTCATTTAAGTGATTGTTATACTTTCGTTATCTATATTCTGTCTTACCTGGCACAAACAGCAACATACATTGCGTGCAGCCATTTGGAGGCAACATATATTGCAATTTTTTTGCAATCTTGCTTCAGAGAAGTTTTTCTGTAGTTTTTATTGCAAGGGTTGTGTGACTATAGTTGCATGTAGTTGCGATAAACCAGCCAATGATAATCTAGTATTGACTGACATCATATGTGACATCATCCTTGGTTGAAGACGAAGTGAAAAACAAACATGGCTGCACCAAAAGAAAAAGCACAGTGATTAATAAAAAAACTGGAAACATCTGGACATTCCAGGAGACCATTTTGCTAGATTCCTGTAGAGGTAAGTGAATTCACATGTAGTTTTTTTTATGCCCAATTTGGCACTCATTTATTGTGTTATCCTGCGCATTGCGACAATGCATTTCCAACACAGTAACAAATCTGGCTTTTGCTTCATGCTTGGCTAAATTAATATAAACAATGCAGTCAACATTATTGATATAGATTTCTACCAACACTCTCCAGGAGAATGTGATTGTGGAACTGCAATGCCCTGATGTAAACAACAGGTTGTTATCCTGATATGCAAGCTAAGTTGTATGTAGTATCTTATGGTTTTTTGCATGTGATGACAAATTGCATTTGTGACTTTTATCAATATTCAACTTTCATTCCAAAAATATTGCATGTTCAAGCTGTATTGTTATATGCACATATACTATATAAATACATATAACTATCAATTATATTGAAAGTTAGTATATGTGCATATAATGATAGAAATATTTAATTATTGAAATTACAATTTTAAAAAGATTAGTTTTAAAGTTATAAAAAGTTGAATAACTATTGATAATTTGGAACAATTACAATATTAATAAATAGAAGTTGAATGTAAGTGAACAATATTGAAAAGTTACAGAATAAAATCAGTAAAATTATGTTTCAGTCTCTCAAAATGTTTCTAAAAACAAAAAACAAAGCTACTAAATTTTTTCTTTTTTGAAAGAATTAAAACATGTATTATGTTTGATTCTTTCAATTTTACTTAAATGATATCAAATATCCTTTACATGTTTTTAATTAAAATAACTTTATTTTCTTCACTAATACAAGTATAAGCTTATAGAAGTTCTGAAGTTGAAATAGAGACACTGCCAATATTAGTTGGTATTGTATTTATATAATTTATTATTATATTAAGCCATAAGAACAGAGAATTTTGTATATTTGTAATGTAAAATTTAAAACTTATTATATGAAATAGGAAGAATATGAGAATCTCTATTTTTTCTTTTCTATTCATTCTTCTATACATATATATAGCAACTTTATCCCTGACTATCTTTGGCAACCCAATCTCAACATATCATAAGAACTCTTGATATGTTGAGATTAGGTTGCCAAAGATAGTCCGGGATAAAGTTGAACTCTTGAATAATTCAATCTGCACTGAACAAACTCTAGAACAAGTTTCATTAATTGTCATCAAAATGGAATAGACAACATTGCTATAATGCTGTCTATTCTAGGCTTGCAAACCTTTACAATCAAATAAAATATGTTCATTTCTAAAATAATGTATATAAATAAGTATCGAAGCAGAAGTGGAATGAATGATGTTAAACTGAAAGACTAGCAATTATAATCATATACTACCCTAATATGTGACAAAATATTTTGAAGGAGTTAAAGGATTTTTTGGTGCACTTAACACCAATGTACAAGTATAGAGAAGAAAAATGCATTGCTTCTCAGCATTACAATAATTCATTGACAAGTGAAAAAAAAACAAGTACTATCAACAAATTTATCATTGTAGTCTTTCTAAAGTGATATTCATAAGTTTGAAAAATCTAATGGGAGTCTATTGACGGTATTATTGTCAAGATAGCAGTGTTTCCCAGATACACTTCTTTCACTGCATTGATGCAATCACATCAGCTCACAGAGGTTGGTAGTTACATTCCAAAGTTTGCCTAGCAATCTTGAAGGCACATCTCCCACTTTGTGAACAGATGAAAAATAAAACAAGTAAATAGCTGATGTAAGCCAGCCATTATTTTGTACTTTTAAGTAAACCTGATTAATATTGTTTTACTTAATATCTTTTGCTCATACTTCCAAATTTTAAATTTTGATACATTACATACAAGTCTATTTGAAAATTTATTTAGCATTTTAATTCAAATATGGTTATTCTGTGTTCTAAATAGAATTTTACGTGAAGAAGACAATGATAAATTTGTTGAAAGTACTTGTATTTGTTTTTCTACTTGTCAATAAATTAGTGTAATACTGAGAGACAGTGCATTGTTTTTCTCAAAAGAGTTAAACTTTGACATTTTATAAAAATTAAACTATTTTAGTTCTTGAGATTTTTTTTTGATAAACTCAACATTTTTTTTCAACTACACTGTTTTGTTTTTCTCTAAAAAGATTGCTTCCATTCAAACACTTCATGTTAGTGAATATCAATATATTTTATATGTATAAATATATACAAGGCTGCTATTCCATCCCTTTTTAAAAGAAAGTCCCTAAAAGTACCCCCCTTTTTTGTGCAAAAGTCTCTAAAGTCCCTTTTTTTGTACTCTACAACTTTATTTGATATATTTATTTTATATTTCAATGTGATTGTTCAGTACATTTTCCAAATTCAGTTTATATATACACTAAAACCACAATATAATGTGTGTATGTATGTATGTATGTATGTATGTATGTTTGTCCATACAAGGTGAGTCAATAGTCCACTACACCATTTTATTCCAAAAGTACTGAAGATGTATTAATTTTGTTAATACAGTTACATAGGAAGTCATGCATGGAGAATTGGATAGGATGTTTTTGTTGACACTGGAATCCTGTAAAACTAATACATAATAGACATAGTGTTCTCTCCACATGTGAATTGTCAATGTGGCTCTGAGATATACAGTTGTTGTCGCTTTTGTTTGATACCAACTTAGTAGGAAGCACTGCATAGCAATGGATGGAAAATTTGCAAGCAAGTTACCAAGTCTGGTAATTTATTATTAGGTTTCGCAATATTTCAAGCCATTTAGCAATTTGGCAACAATTTTTGCCATCTGATAATTTTTCTATACTATTATAAATTTATTCAAGGTGCTCAAGTTTTTACTAAAAACAGGGTTGCACTCAGGCCTAGGCAAACTAGTCAGTTAAAGACCTTAGGGCAAGAACATGTTAACCCAAAATTTGGTAAAAATGAGTTAACAATTGCCTTCACTTTGTATGTGGGCTTACATCAACGATGAAAAGTTTGAAGTTATTGGTAGGATAAGAACATGTAAATCTGACATGGAGAAATATGTTAATTTACTCTATCAGGTATTATGGTAGGCAAGAAATTGCTCTCAGATATGCCTGATAGTGTTTTCTTTGTGCCCTGAATGGTTTCAAAAGTCATATATAGAAGCTTCTTGCTTAACAATCACATAATTCTGTATCTATAAAACCAGTTATGAGAAGCTATGGGCGATGAGTTAGAAAATCATAGCTGCCCTGTGTGTTTAGAAATCAATATTCAACAAAGACACTGCTCTTGCTATAAAATTTCTTGGAATGAAGGAACAATTTCTAGAATGTTTGTAATTTTTGTAAAATTTTTAGAAGAAATTTTACAAAAATTGTCTCTTATCAATAAAGATTTGTTCTAAAGATTCCTCTACCTTCAACCAAAATAATGATTTTCTGCTAAAAGAAAAAGAAATATATTATTGAAATCACTCAAAAGATTCTCTAAATATTTTGAGAATTATATTATTGGATGAATGGTCATTGCTCCTCACTGAAAAATAAATCCTTTCAAATGTATTTGCAGTAAGAATTTATTACTGTTGGGCTCAATTTATGAACCTAAACCTAAATTTAGATGTTTGTAACTTGGAATATGAAAATATTTCAAAAATTTTGGAAACTGCTGTAGCATTGTCAAATTGTAACACTTATGTTGAATGAAGATTTTCAATTTTTTTATGAACTTTGATGGATGACATATATTAAATTTAGTAATGATATACAAGTGCTTTAAAGGTTTGGAAAACTTGGCCATAGCTGTTACAACCAAAGAACTACTTTCAATGGTTCAAGCTGCTCATGGTGAGTACAAGGAATATTTAGATTCTGAGAATAAAACAAACAAGAGACAATAAAACAAGAAGTGGAATTAAAAAGAATTGAAAAAGAAAGATGTGAAAATTAAAAAGAGAAAAGAAATAGCTAGAAAAAACAAAGAAAAATTAAAGAATGTAAAAAAGAAGAAAAAGAAAAAATAATACATATCAGATGAAACATTTAAAATGGCAAACAACTGACTTTAAAAAGTAGCTGATTCTAAAAATTTTTTACAAGTTAGTGTAGCACAAGCTATGCTAATAGGAGCTGAAACAGCTTGCAGGGAAGTGAAAGGAAAACAGAAGGAAATATCTAAACTTAAACTGTACTATAAATAGAAGATGAGATTGCCTTATCTCAGTCTTGGAATGAGAAACCTTCTAAAAAGCCTAAATTATAAGATCAAAATTGTATATTATGTTTGTAAAGTCAACATAATTATGCTATAAAAATTTTATTATTTATAATTATAGAAAATATAATTATATATTAAACATTATCTATTAGTAATTATTTTAAAAAGTAATTATTAAGTCCCTGTTTTAATTTGAATAAGTCTCTAAAAACTATTTTAAAGTCAAAGGGACAGTGGCAGCCCTGTGTATATGCGTAATTTTAATTTATCATTTGTTGTGTTCAAAATTTAATAAATAAATAACAGTTTAAAAAATATATATATATATATATTTTTTTTAAAACTGCTATTTATTTATTTTTGTTACATATATTTCAATTGCATATTTTGTTTAAATATAGGTTCAGAAAACATACAGCAAGGGAACTTACAGAGCTGGTCCCTTGCATCAGATCAGTGTAGTAGGAACAGTACATGAAGAAGTTGGTGATTATTTTCCTGAATTTTTAGACCAATTAGAAAAATGCCCATTTTTAAAACTGACTATGCCATGGGGTCAGCTTTCTTCCGTCCAAATGGAATCTCCACAAGAAAGTAATGATGGACCTATTGTTTGGATTAGACCAGGAGAACAACTTGTTCCTACAGCTGACATGCCTAAATCACCCTGTAAAAGAAAAAGGTATAGATCACATTTTATTTACTTAAATTGAATGATGGTATTTATATTTTTAATATGAATATTTTAATTTAAAAGATTTAAAACTTTTATTTTCTTTAAAAATATTTAGAAATGATTAAAATTTTATAAACTTTTTGGATCGATACTTTAAATAATTCTATCCACAAAATATAAAAGAAAAACTTAAGATTTAAGTATACAAATGTTGATACAGAACACGCCACAAAACCTCACTTTTGATTCATATGTTCATTCTAATATGTGTAATGAAAAATCAAGAAACTTAAATATAAGTTTTACAATGTCCAATAGACAACTGAAAATTATGGTTGGTTGAGTTTTACAGTTGAATAATTTTATTAATATTAATTTGATAAATCCACTAAAAGATTGTATTGTTTTAAATTAATTGAATATATTAGTAATTTAGAATATTTTATCTTTCAAATTATATGATGAAGTCAATCATGGATCCTTGGATATGAATTAATTTGTGGTTTTGGTAGTAATAAAAATAACTGATTATTTAAGCCTTAGAAATCTCTTTTCTTTTTATTTATATGATTTTCCCAAATGGTTCAGTTTGTAGTGAACTCTATAAGTTGAAGCATTTAGGAAAGCATAAAATTTGCAATACAAGACTTATGTATTCTCACATTAAATTATTGAATTAGAAAATAGCACTAATTTGTTAATTGCTTGTTTAAATGAAAATTTATGATATTGATTTAAATTATTTTATGTTAAGTTAATCATTTCTTGCTATTTAATTTCCATTTTCTTCTTTCTTATAAAATAGTCATTGTCTTGCCTTTACAATCTGTTAAGGAACATTTTGAATTAAATTCTTATTTTCTAGATATTTGTTTTCATTTATTTATCTTTTTGCATTTTCAATTTTCTGAAAATAAAAATCTTAACATTATCTAAGAGTTTGATTCAACAGATTATCATGTTTAGGCTAGAGAAATTGGAAGAACAAGTAACAAGGAATGGACAAGAATAAATGACCAGAAAACAAGATTATCTTTAATAAGTTATAAAGAAGTTTTAGGCTATAGAAATCTTTTAAGAAAAAAACAGAATGAAAGTAAGACATATGACCAACAATTTTTGATTTAACAAGGAAGAAAAAATAGGAATGGAAAGAAAGAAAAAAGGAAAAACATGTGTAATTCTAGTCAGAGACATGTTAATGGTACATACAAAAACCACTAAATGAAAAATAGCAACCAGAATGAGAGAGCTCAGGGAAAGTATCCTCTCAGAGATTTCAATATTTTCTAAAATGAAATATTTTCAAAAATGAAAGTTCTAAATATTTTCTAAACTGAATGTCTAACAAAAATGAATCTCAGGCCATATCCAAAATTATGAAGTTTTCCATCTTGATTCATTTAGTCATAAATTGAGGTGGAAGGTCAAAATTTTTTGAAACAGAGAAGAGAAATGCTTGTTCTATTGAATGAGATTGTTCTGCATTCAGTAAAACTTTGAATGACCAAAATTCAAAGAAGATTATTCTTACATGATAATATAGATTAGTATAAGAAAATAGGCAAACACATATAATTTGACAATAATTTAACTCTCTAAGAAAAATAGGAGAAAAAAATATCAATTGTGTATTTTTTTTAAGTTTGAAAATTTAGAAATGATGGAATGTTTGATTTTTGAACAAGAATCTAAAATTAAAAAAAAATTATTGAGTGGACAATACATACAAAGATGTATCTTTTCAAGTAATCCTTTCAAACGCACATGAGGATACAACAATTCTACGGTAGAGTCAATTTTTTATTTGATGCTACTCTGGCTAATTATTTTAAAATGTATTTATTTAATAAAAATAAAGACGAAATCTGCCCAAAAGGGATCACCATTTATTTTTTCTGTTCCAAGACGATACACTTTTTCGCGACTGATCTTTCTTTGTAGGCTACTTGTTGCTGGAAGTATAAAATAGTCCTTTTAAAACACAAAAAACATTTCCAATTAAAATTATAAATAGCTTCTAAAAAAGGAACTGGTGGTCTTGCTTACGTCCATCCATACCTTCTTTGGTGGTGTAACTGCTTTTATCTACTGGAAACAGGTAGTGGAAAATGTAGATTTGAAAAAGACTATTTTATACTTCTAGTCTTGGCTAATTATTTTAAAAAGAATCTAAAAGTGAAAAGGAAAAAAAAAACTACAATTTTCATTGATGATTGTTTGGTTTTCAGCAACAAAGAACTGAAAATGAAGATAAAAACTTAAAGGTGCTTTCTAAAAGTAATAAAATTAGATTTCATGAGAAAAAGCTGTTTCAAGTTGTAAAATAAAAGAAAAATACAAAAAAAAAATTTTAGTAATCGAATACTATTATAAAAATGAATTACAGGTAACCCCCATATAACATGGGAGTTACATTCCAAAAAATTGCAGTGTTATGTGAATCCGTGTTATGCGAAACAAAGAACTAGTGAGAAAAGGGGGATTAGGTTTCAAAAATTAAAAAACATGTTAAATCCTTATTTAAATCGGATTTATTATTCATTTTTTTCATAGGTAAAATACTTATTTATTATTTAAGTAAATATTTTACCAGAGGATTATTCATCCTATATGATGATCTCAGCATGAGCATCATCAACTGGTAACAGTTTTTGGGTGCATTTGTTAATAGCGGTCGCTCTGCAACAGGAGTGCACTGCTGTTTGTAGGCATTTAGGAATGACGGTGAAAGAAAGATGGCAGTGCTTGCACTATCGACAGTATCGTGATGGAGGAATCTATAATTCTAAAATGAGCTTTTAGAGGCAAAAGAAGGGTCCCAATTGTAAAATTTAACCATTAAATGGATTATTGTTGAAAGAGCATTCAAAGTAGCCACAAAAACAATTAGAATGCTCACGCCGAGTTATGCAGAAGTATAAAAGAACACACCCTTTATTACATTTCATGTTGTACAAAGGTTTTTTTGCAATTCCTGAACCGTGTTAGAATGAACCCATGCTATAAAACCTCCATGTTATATGGGGGATGTTCCCAATTCTCGAACCGTGTTAAGAGTGAATCTGTGCTATAGAAGTGCCATGTTATATGGGGGTTACCTGTATTTGAGAATTTTAAGTTTGTTTTTGTTTTGTTTTTATGAAAATAGAAGAAACTTTTTTATAACTATTGCATTAATTATATCATTGATTTTAATAGAATATGATTATTATAAAATCATAGAAACATCACTTAATTAAGTAATTGGGTTATAATAGCCTGATTAGTTAGGTGATCATTTGGTGATGTTTCTATATACATATTGGGTTTTGTGATGTTTGATATACTTATAAAATCATATTATATCATTATATTATTATGTATTAATTACTCTATTAATATTAATAGAGTAATTAATGTAGTTGTACAGTACAATAATCATTTATCATAATTGATAATTATTATTTATTATTCTGATTTGAATGAAATTTACTCAAAATTTTAAAATTATCTGGTTATGTTATGTTGCCATAAGAAAATTTATTTTTTCTCATAGCAAATTTTTATTACTTATATGAATAAACTTAATTTATACATTATTATTATAGACTAGCAGACCCCGCCACACTTTGTTGTGGCTCAAAATGTATCTATTATAAATGTATAACACTTCCCACGTGTGGGGGGAAATTTTTCGAAAATTTTCTTTTTAGTGTACATTCTCTTGGCGTACCCTATTAAAACGCAATCAAAAACGCAAAAACGCGCATCTAAAATAGTATAATAGAAGCCAAGTTCTTCAAGGTAAGCCTTAATCCTCTCCCTCTCCCCCATGGGGGGAATATTGAAAAATCCCTTTTTAGTGTATATTCTGTTGACATACCCTATTAAAACGCAATCAAAAACGCAAAAAACCGCATCTAAAATAGTAGTTATAGAAGCAGAGTTCTTTACGGTAAGCCACTAATCCTGTTCATCTCCCCCCAGTGGGGGAATTTCGACATGTATGTTATATAAAAACACGTGCATATTCGAATGCAGCGTTGTGTGAAAATTTCAAAGGAATTGGTAGGAACAAATGAACATTACATTTTTATTTATATAGATAGGTAGAAGATGATCTGCTTTAGTTCATCCTCACAGAAAAGCGAACTTAGGGAGTCATACTCGTAACGCCATCTGTTGGACATAAAAGCCTTAACCCTCGATGATATCTTTTATTTAATTAATAAAAAATCTGCAGGTTTGATTAGTGGTAAACATTCCGGGGGTCATAAAATGCTACAGTTAAAATTTGGTAACAATTGGTTCAGTAGTTTTCACGGTTAGTGGTCACAAACGAAAAATACGTTGTCTCTTTATATAGTAAAAATATATAAAGTAATTTCTATAAGGATTTCAATAAGAGTTTGATTGTTATTTACAACTAAGCTTTTGGTGTTATGAGTTAATTAGGGATTATAGTTTTCATTTGTAATTTTCTCTTGTAGTTAACTTAAACATGTAATCAAATTTTAATTAGGTTTTTCATAATTTGTTTTTGTTGTTTGTACGTATTGTGTACTGAATAATTTAACAAAAATTATATTGCTATTGTTATTAAGTATAATATTATCTAATGTTACAAATATAAATAATTTATATAAAAAATTTATGTATTTGTATTTTTTGGTAAATGTATACTTTGTTTTTCAAAAGCTAAATTGAATTTTCTATTATTATTTTCAGAAGTGGCTTAAATGAACTTCGCAATTTGCATTATCTACCTCGATCATCAGAACCAAGAGAAATAATGTTTGAAGATAGAACAAAATGCCATGCAGATCATGTTGGTCATGGTTTTGATAGACTTACTACAGCTGCTGTTGGTGTACTTAAGGCTGTACATTGTGGAGAACAGTAAGTAAATATTATTTATTTTATGAATATTGTTATTTGTTTTAAGTTGTTATTTATATAAACATTCAGAACAATAATAAAAATGTATTAATTAAATTTCTTCAGTATTTTAACTCTATAAATAAGATTACATTATTTTAAGAATCATACATATACAGTAGCAATCATGGAATTTGCATCACCTATGATATATCAAACCACATTCAGTAGATGTGCAAAATAGTATATTTAAACTATAATTGCAATTTGTAATGATAACATAATTAGAAGAATAAACAAAAACATGCAATTATTACATATAATTCTACATCAAACTTAAATGTTATTTCACACCACAGCCTCACCAATACTGTTAATGAACAGTTATATGAACTGTGCCATTTACAGTTATGGAAGCAAAAAAATAGCACACAGGTGTTCACAACCTAAGTAGTCCTGAAAAACACAATAAAATTATTTCTCATTGAAAAAAAAAAAATCTTAATACTTTGCAGGGACATCTTGAGCCATAATAACAGTTTTGCAGCATTCCAGAATAGGGTGGATGTGTTTCTTTGAGTATTCTAAACCAAGCTTATGATATCAAACTGTTGTAATACACTCCTGCAGTTGCTGTTTATTTTTAGGAATCTTTTCTACAGTTTTCATGTCCATAATATATCAGCATTTCTGAATAGGGTTGAGATGAGGATGGTTACCTGGTTAGTTTAAACATCAGATCTGGTCTTCTTGTAGGAATTTTTGTTTCATCTAAGCAAAAATATATTAGGTATATATTAGGTAAACTGGAAAGTAATGTTGTTTCTGCATGTGTCAATATTTGTTTATCATTTATTAGCTCATTGTGTACTTCAAAGCTGTGCAAAAGACATTTTAAGGTTAAAGTGACTTGTTTACTTGTAAATAATTAAATCTTAAATTTGTTTTGCAATTTTGGGTGAAATGGCCAGTCAAATACCAGAAGAGGTACATATCCGTCATTGTATGCTTTTTGAGTTTCACAAGGGTAGTAAAGCAACAGTTGCTACCAAAAACATTTGCGATGTTTATCCAAGTGCATTAGATGTTCGTAAATGCCAAAGGTGGTTTTCTAAGTTCAGATCTGGTAATTTTGATTTTTCCAACTTGTATGGATCAGGAAGACCAACAACTTTAGATAATAATGTGTTAAGGGTAGAAGTGGAAGCAAATCCATGTCAGACAGTCAAGGAACTGTCAAACAGTCTTAACCAACCTTGCTCGACCATCCAAGAACATTTGCAGCAGATTGGTAAAGTATGCAGAGCAGGTGTTTGGGTTCCACATAATCTGTCAGAAGAAAACAAAGCTAACCGATTCACCACATGCAAATTATTGCTTCGTATCGCAAAAAAACGCTTCTGTATTGTGCCATTGCACAATACAGAAGCGTTTTTTGATCACTGGAGATGAAAAATGGGTCCTTTATGATAATCCAAACGCAAAAGGCAGTGGCTCTCTCCGAATAAATCGCCACAAAGTACTGCTAAGCAAGGTTTACATCCCAAAAATGCACTTTTGTGTGTTTGGTGGAGTATTTGCAGAATCGTTCAGTTTGAAGTGCTGAAACCTGGACAAACTGTGAATGCAGACCTTTACTGTGAACAATTGTATCAAGTTGATCAATCTTTAATTGAAAAGTGTCCAGCAGTTGTCAACAGAAAAGGCGTTATTCTGCAACATGATAATGCAAGACCGCACTGCGCAAGAAAATCCTGAAAAAATTAATGAATTGGGGTGGGAGGTACTGCCTCACCTACCATACTTGCCTGAGATTGCACCATTGGATTTCCATTTATTCCGATTGCTACAACACTTTCTATGTGACAAAGAATTTGAAAATTTGAATGATATCTGAAATGCCATCTCCAGATATTTTTCTCAAAAACCAATTGATTTTTATTGATCCAGCATTGAAATTTGTGCACTAGATGGCAAAAGGTTGTTGATAATGAGGGTGATTACATCATTGATTAAAAATAAAAACAAGTTAAAAATTTATTTGTTTGATTTTAATTTAAAAAAACATTGCTTTCCAGTCGCCCTAATATATATGAAGTCACTTTAATCCAAAACTTTTTGGTTGACAGTCTCTCATCACTTCTGGTTAGAAAATTAAGACTTTATTGCACAAATTGAACCGTTACAAATGTTATACAAATGCATTTCAGGTTGTTGTAAATTTACAACCCCACTTCAGTGCTGTTAAAAAAACAACAACATTACAGTTAGGAACCCGACATTTCTTATATATTGTATAAAAATTTGTTTTTATAAACAAAGACTTACATGTTTCATAGAGAAATAACATAAAGTTTTCCACTTTCACATCTTTGTTTTTCATAAATATAATTAAATATAATTTATAATAACACAAAAACATAAAAATTCACGACTTTAGGTCTTACTTTATTTTAAATTTATCCAGTATTATGTATTCTGTTGTTTTTTTTACAATAAAGGTATTTTACAATAAAAGTAATTTTTTACAATAAAATAACATTTTTTTTACAATAATTAGGAGAACTATACATCATTTCTTCTAATTAAAGTACTGTATAAGAGTAAATTACATTATATTACAATACAATTTAAAAAAAATTGTATTGTAATATGATTACCCTAAATTAAAACTAAAAAAATGGCATAAACAATACTGGACCAATAGATATAATACTAAATACAAACAAGATAAAAAACAAAATCTTTCCTTATTTCAAAATATTTTTGAGAATTGCAATAAAATTCTGAACAAAGAAAATATTAGTTTGGTCTCATCTTTGGCCAATAAAATATTGCAAAGTATATATAAAAATATTAACAACCAACATGACAGTAAAATAAAAAATGATGACCTTAAAAAAGTGGGAACAGTTTATAAAATAGAGTGTAATTGTAACAACCCAAGAACACATATTGGCGAAACAGGTCGCACATTAGAAAAAAGAATCAAAGAACATGAAGTTGCTATCCACCTTAAATTAAATATGATAATTCACCATGGTATAACCACACAATAAACAACAACTGTCAGATTAATAGAAATAATATAAAAATTTTACATATTGAGAAAAATATTTACAAAAGGAAATTCAAAGAACATATTGAAATAAAGAAACAACCTAAAGACAAACTAATTAATATTTCAGAGGGCATGGCAATCAACCCTCACTGGTACCAGTTAGTAGAGGGTGTTTCATCACACTAAGTATATTAATAGTACAACTTAAGATGTGTTGCATTTGTGAAAACTTGAATAATGTACTTTGTGAAAAATCATTGTATAATATGTATATATATGCACACATACAGAATATTAATTGTAAGTAATTTTACCCTTTACTATTCAATAGTTTTTTAAAAAATTATATTGTAATATAATGTAATTTACACTTATACAGTATTTTAACTAGAAGAACTAATGTATAGTTACTTTTAACAACAGAATATGTAATACTGGATAAATTTAAAATAAAATAAGACCTAAAGTCGTGAATTTTTATGTTTTTGTGTTATTATAAATTATGTTGTATGCAATATAGAGAACGAATAATAACCCGTATGGCCTCTGCATCAAATTGGACCAAATAAGCAATTAAAATGTAACCTTCCTTGATATTGATATACAATTGGATGGTGATAGGATATTGACCAAGGTCCATTACAAGCCATGCTACACGCCTCTGTTCATCTCTGCCAATTCTGATGACCCCTTTTCATACAAGATAGTGGCGTTCCAGACCCTAACCAAAAGAGCATTCACACACCACTCAAAATTCGACAATACATTGGCAAAATTACAATGCATCCAGACCATGTCCACACGACATGGGTATGGACAAAGATTAATTCAGAACCTTGCGTTTGCCTATTCATCACAAGTATATAATAATGACAACGATAACTTATGCACAAACAACTCCAATAATTCTCAGTCTTTGGCTGTGGTTGAATATAACCACCACCTTGATCCAATTTACAGAGAAATTGCTGTGTGTACAAACAAGAGAATTGCATATAAGAGGCATAGTACTATTTATGACATCCTGCACAACTGTGAAGACAACATAGACAAAAGATTTGCTCCAGGGGTATATTCTGTCCCATTAAAGGACCATAGATTTCAAAGAGACCTTGTGTATATTGGCTCCACAATATGCTCTCTAGATAAGCATATATGCGAACACAAATATGACATTGATCATAACAGATACACCACTGCCCTATCTACTTATGCTTCGACCCTGGGCATAAGAGCTGACTTGCATAACGCACAAATCATTAAACTATCACACAGAAGGGAACACACATGAATGCTAGAAACTCTGGAAATATATAAAGCGGGGTTACACAATAACTGCATCAACTATAAGGATGTGATTAATATTTTTACAGCTTGGAAGTTTGTTTATGAAGGGGAAGACCCCACAACTCTATTTAAGGTGTCTTTCCACCCTTTCTTATATGTGTAAAATAATATTTTCATATATTTTTGTTTATGCAATGCTTGATATGCATGCGCAGAATGAATTTTATACACAAAGTTGGATATGTTCCAAAACGTTCTAAAATTTTAAATCTTTAAGCACAACGGCTTTTCAAATCTCAGAACTTTTAACCTGAAGAAGACCGAAAAATACGGTCAAAAACGTTTGTTGTTTTTTCAATTAAATATTTTACTGGTCACTTAAAGGTTTTTGTGAGTCTATTATATATATATATATATATATTGTACTAGTACCTGGTAATGAGTACCTTTACACAAGGAATATAGAGAACGTTTTATGTATATTTATGGAAAACAAGGATGTGAAAGTGGATATATAAGTAATGTTGGGTTCCTAACTGTAATGTTTTTTTAACAGCATTTGAAGTGGGGTTGTAAACTTACAACAACCCAAAATGCATTTGTATAACATCGATTCAATTTGGGCAATAAAGTCTTAATTTTCTAGCTAGAAGTGCTGTGAGACTGTCAACCAAAAAGTTTTTAGATTAAAGTGACTTCATAAATATATATAGAATATACAGCATCCTTATCACGTTAAAAACAACATGTGTGTTAGTTTAAATGACAGTAATGTTAATAAACCATAGAGAAAGACACATTATACCTTTATTCAATGTCCTTTTATGGTGGCAGACACATTCATTCTGGAAGATGCAGAATTCTGTCACAAAATTGATCCTTGATTGTTGAAATTAGCATGGCAGAAGATAAGTGTTGTAGTGCTCTGCAGTCATAAAGTGTACTCTGCCAACATCTTTACTCAATATGCAATTAAATGTTGTATTGACTCTTTAGAAACTTTACAGTCTGCATCAAGAAATCTCTGTTATAATCCTTGCTTTTCTTAGACTAACATAAAGTTTGCTGTCAAATGCATGTTAAATTTGGATACATCCAAAAACATAACAGTCTCACTTTGCATGCTATTTAATCCAGATAAGTTGTTATTTTTGAATTTTATACTGGTTAATAATTGTTTTTATGTGGGTAGTAGGCTTTTAAATTCATATTATATACAGATGAAATTGCAAAGATTGTGCACTTTCTTTTTTACAGCCTTACTGTTCCAGTCACTTTACCTTCAGTTTGGAAGACCTAGCAGTTCATTCTAACAGACATGCTTCAGCAGCCTTTCCTGGCATGGCATACTTGCATGCTTACCTCCTGATCCAGCATTTTTTTTAATGTTGCCATGGTCACTCTTCCTTTGTAACAAATGCACAGGTGTTGATTGATGATGATATAATTTCTATTCTGTTTTATGAGAAGATAAACTTTCAACATTTAAAACTACAATTATTGAGCACAGCATAAGCAAAGCTCTTCATAACTCAGAATGTGTTTTATCTGTGACTGCAGTATAAAGCAAGTATATGACCATTAAACATGATGTTTTGCAAATATGTACAACTTGACAAGGCTGCTATTGTGATGAAGTCAGAATTTTGAAATTCCATCTATGGGCTGAAATATTAGAGGTCAAAATTTACCAGGAAGGTCTTTGGGCCAATTTCAGTTGTATGTTTAAACCAACTGCATGATCATTAAACATGAGATTTTGGAAATATAGTCTGTTCCAAAGTGATAGAGTCACAGTGAAGTAATGGTATTAAAAATGTAATAAGAAGCATATTGATTTCCAGACATGCAGACATCAATTGTTTTAATGCCACTACTAAATGAATTTAGAGCTTCACAATTAACATGAAATCAGTTACCCCTTGGCCAAATTGGCCTAACTGGCTCCTGATTTCCTGTCATTTTGCCACATAAACAGTTATTTCTTTTCCTTCATATTTGTTTGCATAGAACATTACAAAACAACAAAAAGGAATTTTGTTGTTTTGATTATCAGTTTATTATGATATCATATAATAATAATTTTATCAAAAATCAGTAAAAATAGAAATATAAATGAATTTTAACAATGTTGTATATGATATACTTCTCCCAGAAGGAGAGAGAGGCATCTCTGCTTCAGCAGTTAAGTTGCAATGAATTTGCAAAATAGTACATAGTATAGTATAAAATACAGGACAGTAGTAGATTAGGGGTGAATTTCTACAAAATACAGTTCTGGAATGCATGATAAATTAAAGGTTTTTATCATAGGAAGAGAAAAACTGTTCTCATCATTTTGCAGCAAATTATATCAACTCTAGTGGAGAATATGGAACAAACAAGCATCTGGAAGATTCTGAACGCCCATCCAAAATAGTAATTTTCAGTAAACAGCAATTCTACAATGATTATGAGGCAAATTGCATCTCATCTGACATAAATGTGTCAAAATTAACAGTATTCAGATATATCTACAAAATAAGAAAATTAAACAAATTTTGACTCTATATAAGAGCTACAAAGACAGTCCTTTGGAATGGGCTAAACATCACATGACATGGAATGATAAATAGCAATAAACTTATATGGAGTGATGAGAACAAATTCAATATGGATGGGCCAGATGTTTGGCAAAATATTAGAAAAAATGAATTAAATACTCAAATACTCATTATATAAAATTAATATTAATTAAAAAAAGGAATAAAATTAATAAAAAATATGATTAAAAAGTTCTTATCCTTACATATTTCCATAAATATGTCATTTAACTTAGTGTTAAGCCTGTAAGTGACAAATTATTTCAAAAACAAATTCAATAAAACAACTTTGAATTTTATCTCATAATCTGTAAGAAAGTAATATAAATATTATGTATTTTTTATATTGAAATTATCTATGAAAAGTTATCAACTCAGATAATTCAAATGTTTACTATTAATTAATGCTGTAGGATATTAGCAAGAACTAGATATGCACTTAATACCATTTGCGGAAAATATTGAAGGAAAGGTTTTCTAATTAAAAACAAGATGAATGCACCCATTCATAATGCAAAATCAACTTGGGATTGGTGTTTGGCAAATGGTATGCATCTTATGGACTGGCCCCATTTTCTCTTGATCTTAATCTTACAGAAAACATGTTTAGTATCTTAGTAAATAAAATATATAGGAATGAAAATCAATATACATCAGTGGAATTATTAAAAATGGCAATAATTGATGCTTTGTATGAAATCAGAGCTGAAGAGAGAAAAAATCTTATTCATATAATGCGAGATAAAGTTTAAAAAGTAATTAATAAACAAGGTGGACATATTGCTTTTTAATAATATGTAAAGTTTCTTATTTAAATGTTGAAATGGCTCTATCATTTTGGGACAAGTATATCCGATAAAACACTGTTACAATTTATTTATATATTATTTAATTACTGTTTTTTGATAAAATTATTATTATATCATAATAAACCAATAGTTAATTTCCTTGTATTGTTTCATAATGTACTAATTATTTTTTTAATGTTATTATTTCTCAGTGAGTATCATTTTGTAACAGACTCTATGTATGATTAGACAAGGCTGATGATGTGACAAATGCATAATTTTGTTTTTACCTCCATCTATGGGCTGAGAAATCTGAGGTCAAACTTTGCCATGTAAAGTTTATGGTCTGATTGCCTGTTGTATGCTGGTCGCAGACAAAAGGTCAATCAAGTTTTCAGTTGCTGTCAATTCACATTGATCTCTGTGACAAATTTTTATTTTGATCTTTACAATGGGCATTTAACATGAGCAATATTGTGACAAAATCAATTTTGAAAACATGCAGACATGTCTGTTGCGAGGCTGCATATGTGCATGTTTTAACCAGTTGCTGTAGTTGATGGGTTGCTGCTTTACATGTGGGTGTTTTAAACATTTCTTGACATTTTTGAGTTATTATGTTGGACATGCATGCCCTTTCTCAAGCCTGTGGATTTTAAATTGCTGTAGACAACATTAGAAACATATCACCACATTTATGTTTTCATGTCAAGCCGAAACAGAAAAAACTACATTGCAGAGCTCAGTTTTCTTTTCCTAGAAAATACCTAGTACTTTACCTACTTTTTATGCAGTGCTAACTATCAAAAACTTTCCATTTTGCTTTTAAAACCTTGCCACCTTTGCACAAGTTTTTATAACATTGGAAGATGCAGTGGAAACATTGCTGCAATAGATTTTACAGCCAGCATTATGTTTATGATGTCATGAATGATGCAATTTTTATGATTTTGTGTAGGTTTGCAGCAAATTGTTACTTTAATTTAAAAAATAAATACATTTTTAAAGGATTTTATGGATGATGTAATTTTTGTAGACATTACTGTGTTTTAAGAAATAAAAATGAATTCTAGCAGTACAATTATTTTTTAGAATTAATAAATTCTAAAAAATAATTATAAAATCATTATTTTCTTATAAAAATGTTTTTAAAGGAAAAAAATATTTTGTTTGATTTAATGTAGAAATGAAAACAGTTAAAATTTAGTCATTAATAAACAAATACTAAAATTACAGATTTCCAAAATAAACATTTACTGATGATAACAAAATTTTTAATTAAAATTGTATGTTTCTTTTAATTGGCTTATCATCAGTGATTTTAACTGTTTTAGTTAAATTTTAGTTAAACTGTTTAAATTAATTAGTTTTTGTCATTCGATCCTACTGATGTTTAGATCTAACATTAAGCAGGCAAACACGAACAGTAACAAAAAAGAACTTTATTAGAAAAAGTTAGAACTGTCTCAGACATCCTCGGGCAACACCCAGACAAAATCCAACAAACTTTCGCGCCTTTTCCTTTTTTGACGTTGCCAGCCACTCTTGTTGGCAAGTGTTGCCAGACAGAGTTCGTGATCTTGACAAGTGTTGCCAGACAGTGTTCAGGATCTCTGGCGCTGGCGGCCACAAGTTTAACTGTTTTACATAATTCTGCAGAGGTGTAGCCTATGATAAAAGGTTGTCTCTGTGAAGAAAAACTTATGATTAGACATGGCAGAAAGGAGGACGACTTAGTTTCTTCAAATTTTTAATTTTTAAAAAATACCATCAGCTATTACATTTTACAATAGTAGTCATTATAACTTCTAGTGGCAGTCTTAGCTTTCTTCAAGAGATCAGAATTCCATGGCATTTAGTATTTGTCATTTAGCATTGTAGCTTTGAAAATCACTACAGCTTAAATGTAATTGGAGAAGACAACATCCTACTGTTCTTCAAACAAGTTTTGGCATTATTTTGGTTTTTTTTATAATGCTTTAGACTCTCCTTTCAAATATTATTAATCATAACAATTTCTGCTATTTTGCTTAATCTGGAAAATCTTTGTTGCCCATTATGATCCATTATCTTTTGGAGAATAGTTTTGAAAATCATCAGTGTCGTTACCTTCCTTGCCAGACAACTTTGAGAAAAATAACTTAGCTGTCCTCAGTGTTACTTGAAAAAATTTTATTGTTAAAACAAAGTGTAAAAGGAAAAGATTGCTAATTGGAGTCATCAGTAAAATAAGAAGACAAATGCCAAACATAACAGATACAGATAGAATTCTTGAAAAGCAAACTGTTTAACAGCTCTGAAATAATGATGTGCAACTGTGTTGTTACCTTTAATCATCCTTTACCTGAATAATACTAATTTAGTTTATTGCTTCCAATGTAAAATCTATTGATACATGAATATTTTGAAGGTATTTAAAAAATTGTATTAATAATATTTTCTATCTACTTTCAATATTTCTTTGAAATATAATTATCTCCTGTTGAAATATATTACTTTTAAAATTGTTACAAATTGCTCTATTAAAAATTATTTTCTTCATGTGAGAGAAATTTTTAACTTTTGCAAACATTTCTATAAAATGCAATAAAACAAATCTCTGAAAAGATATATAAAGAAAACATTTATTTTATTAAGAGAGGATTAAAATAAAAATGGCAAAATTCATTGATACCGAGAAAAAAAGCAAATATTCAAAGTATATAGTTATCAACTAACAAAAGCACAAGTAGTTTTTAAACTGTTTGATGTTTTCTTAAGATAACCCAAGCAATGCTGGGCATGTTAGCTAGTTCATAATGAAAAACCTATATTGAACATATTAATTAATATATTTAACAAAATATTTTATTCATATTAAATTTTGAATGTTTTAAATTATTGTAAATTGAACATAAAATGTAAATTATTGTTGTAAATTGAACATAAGATTAAACAGAACGTGCTTACTATCAAATAAAAAGCTATATTTTTAATAAACATTTTTTATCATACCATACTTAAAATTATCCTAAATTGTATAATAATTATATATATCACCAAATGGCAGCATGTTTACATGAAAATACAAAATTTTCTAACAATCATAATAACAAATAATTCAATGTAATTTTGAGCAAAATATTGGATTTGGATGTAATTATAAAGATAATGTAATTATACTGCTTTGAACTACTTTTTCAGGCTTTTAGAAGTCTTGTTTTTGACTGAAGTCCAAAAATACTTTTAAAATAATTATATTGCTTTACTTTTGGAATGATGTTTTCTCAACGAATAGTGCAGAATTTTATTTGTACAAAAAAAACCTAGCTTTTATAACAAATTTAAAATTATTATTATATAAAAATTNTCTAATGCACAGCACATCAGTCTGTTGCCATACTACACACCATATTTTTAGATCTTGTGGAAAAATTACAGCTTGATTTGCATGAACCACCTGTTTCTCAAGTAATGTTTAATTTTATTTAATTGATTATAAAATTATTTAAATTAAATTAATTTGTTTATATTACAGTAGCTCCTTGTTATATTGTGCCTCATTATATCACAGATTTGAATATATCACGCTTTTTTTGGTTCCCAAATTTTAAAAGCACTTGAGCCAATAAATTTCAGGAACACTTGCTGATGAAAGAATATAGGATAGAGATTCCATAGCACATGTATTCTGCTTAGTAAAAGCCAAGAATTTTTAGTACTTGGTTACATCGTGCTTTTTCTTTGTCTCCCGACAAGCGCAATATAATGAGAAACTACTGTATTTCAATTTTAAATTATAATTATGAACAGAATTTAAAATTTATTAAAACTTTATGCAATTTCTGCAACCTTATGCAATTGCAAATTCAATAAGGTCGAAAATGAATCTTTTCAATCTAATATATTGATATAATTGAGATGGGTTGATAATGATAATAATAATAATAAGTGCAGAGCCCAAATGGTTAGGAATTGAAAGTTGAAATTTGGTACACAATTAGGGTACGTCACGAAAATGCACACTAAGAAAGGATTCTTCGAAATTCCCCTCGGAGGAAGAGAGACAGGGTTAAGGTTTCGACAATGGAAGTGTTAAGTAACAATGGAAGTATTAAGAATGGAAGTGTCAACAATGAAAGTTTTAACAATGTTAAGAGTTTCTCTTAACACTTCCATTTAACAATGGAAATGTTAAGGGAAAGCAACATGCAAGATTTTCAGGCACAGATGCAGTTTTTGTGGGAAATCAAATATTTTTTTAACCCATCTAAAAATCCTCTAATTAGTCTGAAAACAGTGGGACCTAATTCTTTCATTCTTTGAAAACGGGTAAGATTGACTATAACGTAATAATCTTAATCTTAGCTATCATTACTTTTTGCTTGAACAACTCTGGGATTATCTGCTAGTTAAATAATAATTGAGATTTTAAATAAATACTTGATTTATAAAATTTTTAAAAATGTATTTATTAGAATATTTTTAAATTTCAAATATTTTAATAATTAAAATATTTGGAATTTGGAATACTCTTATGCCAATCTAATGTTTCTTTTGAAATTAATTCAAATACTTTTATCAAAGTTTTACATCAATTTAAAAAAAATTAATCAATTTTATTAAGTTATGTGTTTAAACAGTAGTATCTTGTTAACCACCATTTAAAATGACAGGACTGTTTTACTTCATTTCTGGATATGTTATAAGCTTTTGTTTTATACCTTATGCTATTTCTTTTATTTTGTGAAACACAAAAAATATTGCATTTGTTATATTGAATTTAAAAGTATACAATTATAATTCTTTAGACAACCACTTTGTAAAGCTGAGGTCTGAGAAACAGAAAAGTAGACTTACAATTTGTTACTTTAATTAAATTAATACTCTATTATATAATATTCTGTTTAGAAGTATTGTGACAAAATATTCAATTCTGGAAGTTAAGGGGAAAAAATGTTTTTTGATAATTCATTGTGCCTGACTTAGCAGAACTTGCATCTTACATATTCTTTTAATGTTTATAAATGTTAAAATCTATTACTTATTCTACTTTTATTAATTCTTATCTCATCAAGTTTTTTCATCAATATTGTTTTTTACATATTTATATATGAAACATTAAATTTCCTGAAATGTTTCATTTGTATCATTCAAACATGCTATTGTCAGTAAATTTTCCTTGTTCAATTTGTGGGAAAATATAGAATTTTACCAAAAATAGATTGTTATAGTAGAAAAATATATTAAAATCAAGTTTTATGTTTTACTGTGCAAATAGTTAATTCCAACAAATGCAAAAATGCATAACTAATGGATGTTTAAAAATAAAATAAATAAAAGTTATGGGAATCATGAATAAATGTATACAACAATTACAATCTCAAATTTCTACTCCATTTTCATATAAAATAGTTTTTAAACAAATTTTGAAATTTATTATGTTTTTTATATTTTTAAAGAATTATCCAAACAACAACAAATTTGTTTTTCATGACAGCATTATAATACTATTTAGAATTTGTGTATTTAAATTGTTTAGTTTTTATAGCTCATCTATTATCATGTAAAAGGTAGGTCTTGCATTGCAGAAAAGTATGATTTTGTAAAGTATTACTTTGTTTTTTTTTTCTTACATTTTATTTGTGATTTTTAAAATCTTTTTCTTTCTTATTAATTTTCACCAATTTTTCTTATTTAATTCATCAATGATAAATGTGACAAATCTTAATTTTGTAAAATTTTAAATATTATGAAGACTTAAGTTAAATTCACAAAAATATTGAATATGAATTTATTTAATTTATTTGATTTTTCTTATATAATAAAATGCTTTTTTTCTGTATATCCATTTGTAATTTTCTTTAGAACTTTTTAAAGCAGACAAGTGCATTTATTTTTTTTTATCTGGATTTTTCACTTAATTGCTATGTTAAACTTTTAAATTAATGCAATAAATGTAATGTATTAGGGTCATGCAAAAATGATTGGCATCATCTAGAAAGATGCTAAGTCATTTGTACTTGTATGCAGTGAGTTCATGGACAAGGTGGAAAAAACATGGAAACATATAATCATGGACAATGATGGACAGTGTGGTTTTTGTGGAGAGGAGTGGCTACGTTGGACATCCACATGAAGTTAATAGCTGTGTGGGAATAGTGCACCAGGTTGCAAAATCATGTTTTGCTGGATAGCAGAGTTCAAAGTGGCAAGGACTATGCTGAAAAAGACAAAAAGCAGTGGCTGGGTGTCAAGTGCATGCAAACCAGACAACATCCAGCACGTCTGACTTGATAATGAAGGACAGGAACTAGAAGGTGCAACAGGTCTGTTATGTGGAACCCTGTCATTCATCAGAACTTGAAGATGAAAAAAGGTCTGTGGACCATGAGTTCCGCATTTTCTTACAATTCAGCAGAAGCAATGGTATGTGGAGACATACCAACAGTTACTGAAGCTGTACCGCATGGATCTGGTGAAATTCTTTGAGTGTCTGGTCACAGGCAATGAATTACAGTTCTGACATGAGATGCCAGAAAAGAAATGCCAGTCCATGGAGTAGAAGCACGTAAAGAAGCTGTGGTCAGGAATGTTCATCAAGAAGCAAATGGCAACTGTATTCTGGGATCAGGAGGGGATCCTGCTGTTGGCTTGGCTGTCCCCTAATACTGCAAGACATTGCAGCAGCTCCACCTAAAGAAATGAGGGCATGATGTGTTTTTCCTGCAGTGTGGTGACTGATGTGCTGTTCTAATGCACAGCACATCAGTCTGTTGCCATACTACACACCATACTGTTGCCATCCTGCAAGCTCTAGGATACACCATACTGCATCATCTGCCATATTCTTCGATCCTGTGCCTAGTAACTAAGCTCTGTTTGGCACAATGAAAGAGGCAGGTGAGAAAGAAACTCTCCTCCAGCATCAAGCTTTAGTCACCTGTCCAGAGGTGATGCTGGGATGGATCTTCAAAGAATTGTTTGCTGTGGCATAATGGCAACTGCCAGAACAATGACAACAGTGCATAGACATTGGTGGGGAATACTTTAATGTAATTTGCACTCACTTTGTCCTATTAAATGGCTAGTGTGTCAAAAACTTTGTAGTGTCAATCATTTTTGAATGACCAATATAAAACATGATATTACTTGTGTAATTGTATTATTGAAATCATGTTAAAATTATCATCACTTACTAGTTCAAAATATTTCAATATTCCATTCCTTCAAATTCTTTTCAATTTATTAGTGATTATTATTATTGTTATTTTCTTTCTAATAATATATAATTAATTTTCCGTGCATGACTTTTTGTAATCTTATCTGATTCTGTAAACTAATATGATAACATTTGTTAATTTTTTCATTTATAACTAATTGCATATGATCTTATTCTTTCTTCTTAAAATGATTAATTAAATTTTATTATCGACTAAAATTTAAAAGTGATGACAACATTACCTTTTTACACCTGGAAATAACTAAACATTACAAAAACCAAAATCAGAGCATCTCTGGCAAAATAAATTTAACAAAATACTAAATTCTTTTAGAGTGTCTGCTATTTAAAGATAATCTTCAGAACTGGAAATACAGCTACACACTGTTACTGGAATCTGCAATTTCTCAATCTATAAACAAAGATCAAGTCAGCCTAAGTTGAAGTAATTACCATCCTTGGTATATAGATATCCTAAAAATACCATCCTCCCAATTGTACATGAATAAACCAATAAATCTTAGTGTGAAAAGATTAATAGCCCAACTACATCTCAATAAATATTCACTTTTCATTAGCAACACCTATATCAATTTTTCAAATAACCAATGCTTCTGGTGCAAATCTGATGATTTTTCGATGCAATATCTACTACAAAATTGTCAAAACTTTACAAATACAGGTAACTCCCATATAACACAGGAGTTACGTTCCAAAAAATTGCCTTGTTATGTGAATCCATGTTATAAGAAACAAAGAACTAGTGCGAAAAGGGGGGGTTAGGTTCCAAAAATGAAAAAACATGCTGTTAAATCCTTATTTAAATCGGATTTGTTATTCATTTTTTTTCATAGGTAAAATACTTATTTAATTTTTAAGTAAATATTTTACCAAAGGATTATTCATTTTATATGATGATCTCAGCATGAGCATCATCAACTGGTAACAGTTTGTGGGTGCGTTCGTTAATAGCGGTTGCTCTGCAACGGGAGTGCACTGCTGTTTGTAGGCATTTAGGAACGACAGTGAAGGAAAGATGGCAGCGCCCACACTATCGATAGTGGAGGAATCTATAATTCTAAAATGAGCTTTTAGAGGCAAAAGAAGGGTCCCAATTGTAAAATTTAACCATTAAATGGATTATTTGTTGAAAGAGCATTCAAAGTAGCCACGAAAACAATTAGAATGCTTGCGCGGAGTTACACAGAGGAATAAAAGAATGCACCCTTTATTACATTTTATGTTGTAT